CTCGCAGGTACGGACATGGCCGTTTTCTGCCTGCTGTGCGGCAAGCGGTTCCAGACGCAGAGCGCCCTGCAGCAGCACATGGAGGTGCACGCCGGGGTGCGCAGCTACATCTGCAGCGAGTGCAACCGCACCTTCCCCAGCCACACCGCGCTCAAGAGGCACCTCCGCTCCCACACAGGTACGATGGCACCGCCACCGGGATGCTCGGGGCTGGGGCGGCTAGGGCAGGCTTCTTCCCTCTTTGTAAAAAAAAAAAAAAAAAAAAAAGAACAAAAGGGAAAAGAAAGGTGAAATTGTCTTAAAAGTGTCAAGGCGACTGCCATTGAGGTTGTTTGGATTTAAAAAATGAAACGGGGGAAGAAAAAAAAAAAGCCGCGTGTAATAAGTTGATCCCGTATAAGGTGACATGTGACCTTCTTAGGGGGTGTGCGATCATACCCGCTTCATCGGCTTACAGGCGGTAGATGCACATAATCAGGCGGTGCTCGGCCCTAATGGGATTAGGGCGACCTGCGCAACGTGTAGCTGGTGCTTCAGTGGCGCAGCCCACCGGGGCAGAGCTTGGCTCCGGGAGAGCGGGGCTTTGACCGCCTTACGCCGCATCCTCACAGCGCCCACGCCGTGTCCTCGGCTCCTCCATCAGCATCCCCGGGCAGGTCCCCAGGCAGGACCAGGGGACGGCAGGGGGAGAGGTCCCGGCCACGTGGTTAGCGCCGTCACTCGGGTCCGGCTGCAAAACCCCCCGGTGCGGGAAAAAGCAAATCCTTGGGGAATGAGCGGGATTGTGCGGGGGGAGCCTGCCCGGTGCGTTGCAGCCCCGCCGTGCATCGCAGCCAGCGCCACGGCGCTCTGCAGCTGCGTGGGTGAAGCGTTCCTCGCCCATCCTTTGCCCACGCGAGTTGGAGACTCGCGCGCCCTCCTCGGCTGCGCTTTTATTGCTGGCGGGGAGGAAAATGCATGCCAAGCCAAGGGATACCCCTTCTCCTTTCTCCTGCTAAGCGGCGTGCACGCATGCAGCCTCAAAAGGGGACGTAGAAGTGGCTGCTGGGGGGACGTGCAGGCTTTTTTTTAGGGGACAGGGGACGTAGAAGTGGCTGGTGGGGGGACCCGCAGGCAACCGGGGGGTCCCAACATGGGGAAACGGGAAACGCGCGCTGATGATAAGCACGTTAACGCCGAGTTGGAGCCATTACGGGAAACGCGCGCTGATGATAAGCACGTTAACGCCGAGTGCTGGAGCCATTTATAGCCGGTAATCCGGTGACCTGGGCAGCGGGTCGGGGCGCGCGTGTCCCACCCCAACCTCTGCTGCTTCAGCAGCTCCTGGCTGCGAAAAAACACTGGGATCATCGGTGCTTTAGGGGTGTTGAATGGTGCTGCATGGTTTCATCCTGCACAGATGTGGGATGCTCGCGCTCCTCCCGGGGCCGGAGCACTCCGGGGGCCCTGGCTCCCATTTACACGGCTTCTCCTAAAAATTGAGCGCATGGAAATGCTGTCTGCCTCTGGCTGCAAAATCGCTATCTTTGACTACAGGATCAAAAACCAAGGCGATCGTTTGGGATTGGGCATGGGGAGGTGAAGCGCAGCTGCCAACAGGCACCGCCTGCCTCGCCTTTGGGGGGGGGGGACCAAAACGCATCCTGAGCATCTTCCTCCTCCTCCGGTGCCCAGCGGGCAGCTGCGGGAGGAGGCGAGGGGCCGCAGGTCTCGGCTGCGGCACACGGGGAGAGAGTAAAATATCATTTTAAAGAGGAAGCGAAAGCGCAGGCATGTGAGTATATAACGAGAAGGACAATTTATGCCCAGGCACGAGTGCAGTTTGACACGGGGATAATGAAAAAACGTAGGTCATTGTGGATGACTTAAGCCTTCACAGCTGAAGAAAATGTATGAAATGCGGGGAACATTACACGCTTGGCAGCTCCGCACATCTGCAGCAGGACAAGTGAAATACAGTTGGCCATTCTTTACCATAAACTGTGCTTGTAGGATATGCGGCACAGAGAAATTGTAATTACAGTGACAAGACAAATCAGTAATATTTAAATATTCATGAACAACGTCTCGGACGATCAATCTATCTTTATTGTCCTTGCCTTCGCGGCTGTAATAAATAAGTAGCTGGAGCCCTCACCTTTCCTTCAAATCATTCTGCCTTTGGTGCCGAACCGGAGTTCATTTATCAGCCGCCCGGTCTGGAGCGCGGGAGACGCCCGGGGCCGGGTCTGTGCTGGCAATGCCGGGTGAAAAGCCTGGGAATTGGTGGCGGGAGGGTCACGGCGCCCTCCGGTCTCTTTACCCTGCTGCGGACCCGAGCATCCCCTCCGCACGGGGACGCGGGGACTGGCGTGCCGCGCTGGGGTGGCTGGGATGCTCCATCCCCCGGGATGGCGGCAGCGGGTGCCGGGCGTAAATCCAGGCTGGGGAGCTCGTTTTGGCACGGCATGATGGCCACGATGGTGGCCCTGACACGGGCGTGTGCTTGCAGGCGACCACCCCTACGAGTGCGAGTTCTGCGGCAGCTGCTTCCGGGATGAGAGCACGCTGAAGGGCCACAAGCGCATCCACACCGGCGAGAAGCCCTACGAGTGCAACGGCTGCGGCAAGAAGTTCAGCCTCAAGCACCAGCTGGAGACCCACTACCGGGTCCACACAGGTACGTGCTGCAGGGGGGGGAGGGTCTCCGGTGAGTCCGGCAGTGCCGGACCGGTCCCCCGGCGGAGATGCCGGCAGCGTGGACCAGGGCGGCGGCTGGGGATAACGGATCGTTGGATGCGCCGGCGCGTAGCTATCATAAATAGAGGATCAACAGCGAGATCGGTTTTGCTGTTCATTACGTGGTTCGGCTGGGGGTGTGCCCGCCACGGCAGTGTCGATGCCGGGCAGTTAATTACCGCCTGGAGGCCCCGAGCCCCCGCTGACACCCCCATCTCCCTGTCGCCCGCAGGCGAGAAGCCCTTCGAGTGCAAGCTGTGCCACCAGCGCTCCCGGGACTACTCGGCCATGATCAAACACCTTCGGACCCACAACGGCGCTTCCCCCTACCAGTGCACCATTTGCCTGGAGTACTGCCCCAGCCTCTCCGCCATGCAGAAGCACATGAAGGGCCACAAGCCGGAGGAGATCCCCACCGACTGGCGGATAGAGAAGACCTATCTCTACCTCTGCTACGTCTGAGGGAGGAGGCGCAGGGGCGGCGGGGCTGAGTGGCGGAGG